TAAAAAAATACTTTTTAAAATTTATTTGACAGAAGAGAGCACAAGCAGGGGGAGTGGCAGAGGGAGAAGCAGGCTCCCCGCTGAGCAGGGAGCAGGACCCTGGGATCATGACCTAAGCCAAAGGCAGACACTTAACTGACTGTGCCACCCAAGCGCCCCGAGCTATAATTGTTTGAGCTTTTACAAGATGTAAAAAAAATACATAATCCTGTAAAAACTACTCATTCTTTGGAGCACTTCCTTCCCTGTGAAGAGCGTGGTTCCCGGGCAGCTGTCCTGACCTGCACTTGAAGAAAACTTGTATTAGAAATAGAGAAACTTGGGGTGCCTGGGTGGCTCAGTTGGTTAAGCGGCTGCCTTCAGCTCAGGGCATGATCCTGGGGTCTTGGGATCAAGTCCCGCATCGGGCTCCCTGCTCAGTGGGGAGTGTGCTTCTCCCTCTCTAATAAATAAAATACTGAAAAAAAAAAAAGAAAGAAATAGAGAAACTCTATTCTTTCTTACAGAGATTCTAAAGGTCTGTTCATTTTTCGTCAACACCAAGGCTCCCGGTTTGCCTGAGACATCCTGGCCTTAACCCTGAAAGTCCTCTCTCCCAGGAGACGATGCAGCCTGGGCTAACATGGGTGGTGGGCCACCTCTGACATGCGTGTTTCTACCACACCATCAAGCAACTAACTCAATTCTCTGAGGACTCTGAGGGCGTGTCTCACCAATCCGACTCAACTCTGGTACTGTCTATCTGGAGGTGGCATCAGATCCCACAGGCTAGGGGCTCAGGGCCGTTGAGCTGCTTCTCCCCCTTCAGATGCCAGGCGCAAATCCAGGCTGTCATCTGTGCTTCCAATAATTAGCTACAGATCAGGTTCAGTGAATTTGCTAGAGCGGTTCCCAGATCTCAGGAAAGCAGCTTACTCACTGGGTTACCGGTTTATTACAAAGGATTTGAATCAACCGCCAGATGAGGAGATGTGTGGGGTAGGGGTGCCGAGCTTCCATGTCCGGGGGGCCACTCGCCCCATAATGTGGTTCGGAGCGTTGGGGTCCAGAGCTGACAGCTAAGAAATAAGTCTTGAGACGTCTTTGGTGCAAAGGGTGGTTTTATTATAGCACAGGACAGGACCCATGGACAGAAAGAGCGGCTTCTGTGGGACTGTGACCAGTAATTTATATACCAGGGAGTTGGGGGAAGACAGAGGGAAGTTTCCAAAAGGACTTTCATATGCTAAAGACTCTCAGGATACAGGAGGCCAGGCTATTGTCAAGCAAGGGTGGTAATCGCGCTTCCCGGCCTTTTGGATTTAGCTCAGGAGAAGACAGCTGGGAGTTTCCTGGAGGAAGGTTACACTCTGCCCGCCTCGAGTACTGGTCAACGGGCTGCAGGTTATAAGGACATTTAATTTTATCTACATTTCCTTCTGCCTCTGTTCCCCACATCAACTCCCCCCTAGGGCCCCCCATCCTGCCGCAGACCTGCAACTGGGCCCATGTGAAGGGTACGTGGCTTTGGGTTCCTGACTTGGATCGTTAATTCCCTGTAAGGGCCTCTATACTGCATGTGGCCTGGGGCTCTTTGCTCGGGCAGGTGGTGGGGCTAGACAGGCCAGTGGCCCATCACTGCTCATGCTGGTAGCATGTTCCTGCTCAGGGGTCTCAGCCCAGCCTGCACCTGGGGAGCTTGAAACGACAGTGGCCATAGACCTGCTGAGTCAGGGGCTCTGTGGTGGGCTTGGCGATCTGGGTTTTGTCAAGTCCTGCAGGTGATTCTGATGCATGCTCTACCTTGAGAACCACTAGGTGAAGCTGGAGGATGTCTAATTATGGACATAAATGTGTGGTCTGCGGGTGAGGGCTGCAGATGCCATGTGTGCGGGGGGAGGGGGGGAATGCCCGCTGGGGAGGAGGCTGCCTGGAGGGAGGGGTCTGCTCCGCTTGGGCACCTTCTCTGGCAGGGCCAGCAGAGGCTGGGCCTGGGCTGATACCCCGAGGCAGTCCCCAGAAACAGGATCCAAAGGGGTGCCTGATAGTTCAGTCAGTTAAGCATCCGACTTCTTTTTTTTTTTAAGATTTTATTTGAGAGGTGGGGGTGGGTAGAGGTAGAGGCAGAGGGAGGAGACTCCCAGCTGAGCAGGGAGCCCAATGTGGGGCTCCATCCCAGGACCCTGGGATCATGACCTGAGCCGAAGGCGGACGCTCAACGACTGAGCCACCCAGGTGCCCCAAGCATCAAACTCTTAATTTCTCAGGGTTGTGAGACTGAGCCCCATGTCGGGATCCCTCTGCCCCTCCCCACCAAAAAAGAAGCATGAACCACAGCGTCAGCTACTCCCAGTCCATTTCCTGTTTGTGTGACATAGTCCCATTAATTTTCAAATAATCCTCTTGAAACCTTCCCACCTTGTCCCCATGGGATGGAGGGGAGCTGGATGAGACTCTGGTGAAGCACTAGCTCAAAGTCTAGCTCTGCATGTCACTGGCTGCGTGACCTTGAGAAAGTTTTGTCTTGTCACATTACCGGTCCTTAGAGCCCCCTTCCACCTGTTTCTGAGAGGACTCCAAGAGACTGCTCACAGGGGGTGGGTGGCCAGAGCATTCCATGTCTGGCATCTCTGTCCAGGGCAAGTCCCTGGGCCTCAGAGGCCCGACATGGCAGGGACCAGGACCAGCTCCCAAGCCCACGCAGCTAAGTGCCCCCTGCAGCTCCCACTGGAGCCATCCCGCACGCCCAGGGGCAGGGTCTGTAGCATCCCTTAATCCAACCGTATTAAATGGGCTCTGGACCACCAGCCTCTGTCCACCCCTCCCTCTGCCCCAGAGGCCCCCGCCTCTCTAAGAGCTCCTACAGATCCCAGCCTGATCCCTCCAAGGCTGTCCAAAGTCCCAGGCCCTCAAATGCTCCCTCTGTCCTCAGCTGAGCTGAAAATGAGCTCTCTCAGCGTCAAAAATCACAGACATGATGTGTTACCTGGCCAGGGAGCAGCTCTGCTCTCTTTCACATGGCCTTTCTGGAAGTAATTCCTTAACTTACTAAGAGGAATGTAGTCTCCATGACAAAATCTGATGGCACACTGACCACAAATAAAAACCAGGCTGGTGAAAATGCCCAGCAAGTGTCATACGTACCTCCTACGTACAACTCCGAGGTAGGGCCCCAGAGCTGCAGAACCAGGGGGCTCTGGCTTCCACCCGATGACCAGCCTGGTGTTTGAGGACAGCCCTGCTCCCCGCAAGTGGACCCCGTTGTGACTGTGTTCATCTAATTCCTTAGCTATCTTTCTTGGAAAAACCACACGCTCTTTAGGCTGCAGACTGCCAGGAGGAATCATCCCATTGCAGCTGTACTACTTCTCGTGCTATTGGGGTCTCTCTCCTATGAGCGTAAAGCTCTTTGACCACTGGATGATGCCCCCACCTCCTCACTTCTAAAACAGGACACGGACTCTAGTTACCGAGTATTTTAGAACTTCTGTGTTGTGCAATTGCTGCAAAACTCAGTTGTCTTAAAATGCCATTGCTGGGGGACGCCTGGCTGGCTCAGTTGGTGACACATCTGCCTTCGGCTCAGGTCACGATCTCAGGGTCCTGGGACTGAGCCCCATGTGGGGTTTGGCGCTCAGCGGGGAGTCTGCTGTCTCTCTTCCCCTCTGCCCACTTGTGCGTGATCTCTCTCACAAATAAAAGAAACGCCATTGCTGAGGGCAGTTTCAAATGTCGCAGCGTCCACTGTGTCCTGGTTAATGTTGACAAATGCCCAATGTCCTTCAACAATCCTTCAGTTGTTGCTGTGGGTTTGTGTTGTTAGGGTGAAAACGTGTTGGTTTCTGGGGCCGCACTTCTAAACCCAGGCAGGTGTGTATTGTTTCCAAAGGCAGGAACTGGCCGGGTCACCATGCTAGCCCCGAGGCACCCTTCTTCTGGCGCTGAGACCTAGGGCGGTTATTTATCCCTGGGGTGGCTTCCCACACCGGAAGGAGGGGGCACAGATGAGGTCACGCTGCCTTCAGTGCCTGCCCAGACAAGGAGGCACAAATACACAATCACCAATAGCCCTGGCACACTGGCCCTGGGGGTTAAGGGCAAGCTAAATTCTAAGGGCTGGGGGGCCCTCCCAGGGAGGGGAGGGCACGGAAGTTCTACAGGGCAGACGCTGAAACCCAGCATGTCGAAGGGGGCGGATCAGATCCCCAGGTCAGACCGCAGAGCCCACCGCAGTCCCGCTTCCCTCGCCGCCGAGGCAGGTGTGGGACAGCAGTGCCACACGCCAGCGAATGGCATGGGGGTCCCCCGAACGCCAGGCTGGCGGGCCGTCCCCCGAGACCCCGCGCCCCAGCCGCCCGCCCCGCTCCCCGACGGCTCCCCGAGGGCCCCCCCCGGACCTGGGGCAGCGGGGGGTGCGTGGCCCGCTTCCGCGGACAACTGCCACGTCCCACCCCACCGCGGTCGCGCCAACATTCTGGAGAGCCCGTGGACGCCGGCAGCGCGCAGCATTTCTCCAGCAGCCTCCCAGCAAGCCCGGTGGGGAGGCGAGAGGCGGGGGCGCGGGCCCAGGTGCGTCTCCGCGAGGAAAGGGGGAGCCCCGCGGCTTCTCTGACTCAGGTGAACCGCTGCACTGCGAGCTCTTCTCCGTGCGCACGGGCCCCGTCCGGCGCAGCCGGGGCGCGGGAACCAGCGTGGCGTCGGCGGCGGCACCATCAGGTCCTGGGGCCACCTTGCCGGACCGCCTCACGGCCTTAGGGTCCAGGTCACCGACCCCCGGCCGCCACTGAACGCCTCCTCGCCGCCCCGCAGGCGCACCGAGCCGCAGCGAGCCGCAGCGAGCCCCGCCCCCCGCAGCGAGCCCCGCCCCGCGGCCCGCCTCCTTCCATCTGCGCACGCGCACTGAGCCGCGCCCTCGCCGCACCGGGAGGCGGGGGAACACAGGCCGCGGAAGGAGGGCCGGACGGCTGGGGGCGGGGCGAGCCGGGGCCCGCGGCTGCGCACTCGACCGCGCCGCGCGCCCCACCCACTTCCGGCTGTGGCTCTTCCGGGGGTGGGGGGAGGCTGTCTACCCCAGCAGCGGAGGTGGGCAGCGTCAGGCTGACGTCCGCCCCACAGACCCGAGGGGCCGCGGCCACCATGGCGTCCGGCGGCGCTCGCGGGCTGATGCAGCGCTGGGAGCTGCTCCTCAGCGCCGTCGCGCTGTTCCTGCTGCTGCTTTCGGCGGCCGCGGCTCAGGAGCCGTCCGGAGCGGGTGAGGGGCCCGGGGCGGTTGAGAGGGCGCGGGCTCCTGGGCGGGGCGGGGAGGGGTCGCGGGGTCCCGGTCCGGGCGGGGCGGGGGGAGGGGGCCGTGGGGTCCCGGTTCGGGAAGGGGGGAGGTGGAGGGGGGCGCGGGGTCCCGGGCGGGGCGAGGGTGGAGGGGGGCGCGGGGTCCCGGTCCGGGCGGGGCGGGGAGGTGGAGGGGTCCGCGGGGTCCTCGGCGGGGCGGGGGGAGGGGGCCGTGGGGTCCCGGTTCGGGAAGGGGGGAGCTGTCGCGGGCGCGGGGACCGGGCGGGGCGGCTAGGTGGAGGGGTCGCGGGGTCCCGGTCCGGGCGGGGCGGGGAGGTGGAGGGGTCCGCGGGGTCCTCGGCGGGGCGGGGGCGGGGAGGGGGCCGTGGGGTCCCGGTCCGGGAAGGGAGGAGGTGGAGGGGTCCGCGGGGTCCTCGGCGGGGCGGGGGCGGGGAGGGGGCCGTGGGGTCCCGGTCCGGGAAGGGAGGAGGTGGAGGGGGCGCGGGGTCCTCGGCGGGGCGGGGGGAGAGGGGGCGCGGGGTCCTCGGCGGGGCGAGGGTGGAGGGGGGCGCGGGATCCCGGATCGGGCGGGGAGCTGTCGCGGGCGCGGGGTCCCGGGCGGGGCGGCTAGGTGGAAGGGGCGCGGTGTTCTGGGCTGGTGGAGGGGCCCGCCCTTTGTCTTGGTTCAGCCTCGCGGCGGGGTCGGCGGGGGCTGCAGGATTGTCCTGGCTTGGTGCTCGGCCCGGCCTCACCGCGGTTCTCTCTGGAGGAGCTTCCGAGCCTGGAAGTAGAGCTTCGAGGCTGCTGGAGCCCCACAGCGGGTCGGTAGCCGATGTCCAGGTGCCAGGCCCCTTGAGAATGGGGGGGGCACTGGTGCGGCACAGGGGGCACCACTCCACTCGGGAAGGAGTCCTTCGGTCACCGCGTGCCCCAGCGGAGGCAGGAAAGCACAGTGCCATGGGACGTGCGACTTTGAAGGAAGCCGATTCTGTTTCTGCACTCAGCGGCCCTGGGGTGGGCGTGCGTCCTCACTCACTGTGCTGCCAGGTGCTGGGACCATGGGGATCAACAGACAGTTCTGGGGGGCTGACCGAGGAACAGGGCTCGAGAAGGAAGTGTATGACCTAGGGCCAAGCTGATGTGTCAGAAGGTTCCAGAAAGGCAGTATTGCTGGAGAGTGGCCTCCTGTGGGTCAGTGGAGGGGGCAGGGAGTCCTCAGCCTCAGCCTCTGGGCCTGGGGGAGGATCAGGGAAGCTGGGAGTGTCAGGGCTGGGCCTGTTGGAGAAATGTGCTGGCTGCCTGTGTGGAGTACCCATGTGATCAGCAGCCGAGCCTCCCGCAGATCGGGCAGCCTGATGACCTCCGTTCCGGGGCTTTACCAGTCGGATTGCCTCGGGGCCAGTCTTTTTCTCCACTCCTGCTAGCCCAGGCTTTGTTGGGTTCTGTTAGTTAGCCCAGCAAAGCACCCTGCTGAACGTTTATTTCAGCGCATGACTGTTGTTCTCCTAATTTACTTCCAGTGTGTGTGTGTGTGACGTTTCCGAGGCAGCTGTCTGCACTGTGTAGGGAACGGTTGGGTCTGGATTGAGTTGTAAGCACAGATGTGGAGTGGGGACTTTTTACCATAATAGATGGACAGGATGCCAAAATTCTGTCTCTCTCAGGGGCTAGCGGATGTGTGCGTAATGCAGCGGTGTGTCAGGAGTGGCCCTGATTGATTGACCCCTCTGTTACTCGTAGTGCCCTGGAGTTCGGAGAGGTGTGTGGAGGCCCTCCTGCGTGAGTGGGCTGTCCTTTGGTGACTTTAACTTGTTTCCTCATCAGGGAATTAGACCAGAGCTGTTGCTGTAGTATTTCAGCTGAAAAGCAGCTTCTTTGGCCGCACGGCATTCCACTCACTGTAATTCGGTGGGAAGCTGCCTGTCCTTTGCTTTGGCTCATAGTAATTACCTCTGTCTGGTGGATACAACCCAGGTCCTTGGTGGGTGGTAGTGGGCTGCTGTCTCTCTCCTCAGCAGCAAGTTCAAAGGGGAGGAATGATGTGCTGTGAGGGTGCTTATCCCCCAGGTATCCCGGGGCTCTGCGTTTGCCTTTCCTCGGAGAGGGGCACTGTGGGAGCAGTGAGCGCTCCCCATTCAGAGTATGTGCTCAGTGTGGGATTTTTGCTGCTTGTCATACTGTAGGAATGTGACTACACTGTTGACGATGTTGGTCTTCCTTGCAAGGGCATTGGGGTTCTTCAGAGAAACAGAACCCGTAGGGTATCTACAGCTGTGGAGAAAGAGGTGTATTATGAAGGATTGGCTCACGTGATTGTGGAGGCTGGGAAGTCCCATGACCTGTGGTTTGCAGGTTGGAGTCCCAGGAAAGCTGCTGGAATTCAGTCCATGTTGGAAGCACCCGGGACCCAGTGTCTGAGGGCAGGAGAAAATAGGTGTCCCAGCTTCAGCAGAAAGAGTAAATTCCCTATTCCTCTGCCTTTTTTGTTCGTTGGGGCGCCTCTATGGATTGGGTGATGCCCTTGCATTGGTGAGGGCAGTATTCTTTATTCGGTCTACCAGTTTGAACGCCGATCCCCTGAAACACCCGGGAATGTTTTACCAGCTACCTGTGCCTCCCGTAGCCCAGGCAGGTTGACACGTAAGTTAACTGTCACAGCAATCCCACGCCAGCAGTTTCTGATGTCTTACTATGTGTTTGGGAACACGGGGGGGTGGGGGTGCGTGGGGACACAGGGGACCCAGGGCACACTGAAGATCTGTCAAGGGAGGCTCCAGGAATCACAGCGGCCTCCACAGGCCGTGGAGCCCGCCCTGTGTGTGGGGTAAGACTCCGTCCCAGAGTCTCATCTGTACATCGGGGGTGGGGGGGGGATGACCCTGAGTACCAGCTGCCTGAAGGATGCAAAAGAGCTCTGTTGTGGCCTGTGCAGGTCCCCCCCTGACTGCTCCTCACGAAGGGCACTGGATTTGGAGGGGGGCTTGCTGTTCCTCGCCTGCCCGTCTCCTGTTGTAAGGGGTTACAGCATGTATACAGATGGTGCCTGTTATCTGTGCATACAGATGGTCCCCGACTTACACGGGTTTGATGTAAGATTTTTCTTCTTCGTGGTGATGCGAAAGGGACATGCATTCAGGAGAACCAGTGCTTGGAATTTGGGGTGTGGGTCTTTGCCCAGGCTAGCGATGTGCGGTCCTGTCCTGGGGCTGGGCAGCCCCGCGGTCTCACAGCCGTTCTGTCAGTCACTTTGGGTACAGTATTCGGTCAGTTACAGAGCTATTCAACACTCTCTCGTAAGACAGGCTGCGTGCGAGCTGATTCTGCCCAGGTGTCGGCCAACGGAAGTGTTCTCAGAACGTTTAAGGTTGGCCAGGTGTATTAACTGGATTTTTGATAGGCTGTTTTCCACTTACAGTGAGTTTCTTGGAATGTAACCCATCCTAAATCAAGGAAGGGCTGTACAACACTCATCGCTCTTTTGTTTCTACTGAGATAGGAAGATAAGCGGGACTTTTTGTCTGACGACCTTTGCACCCTTGTTTCTCGTGTGAAGCTAGTGAAGTAGGTGCTCTGTCACCGAGCAGGGCGGGCTCGGTGTTTGCTGTTTGCGGAGGGGCCGGCTGGCCGGTGCCGCCCTCTGGCCTGAGGTGTGACACATGCACAGTGAGTGTGTGCTTCCTCGTTTTTTTACTTTTACAAAACAGATCTCTTTACACGCGCTAGTGCGTGTCCTCTGTCCCTGAATGGGCTCCCCTGAATCCTGAGGACACAATGTGACGAGGGGCCACGGGCTGGCGTATCCGAACACAAGGATCTTCTTCTTTTGGTCTTTTCATTTAATTTTCAAAGGGAACGATACGTCAAGTTTTCTAATCATTGGCAAATGGACTCTCAGAGATTTCCAGTCCTGGGACTTCCAGAGTCAGGATGTGGACACTTAGTGTTAGACTGGGCAACTACGAGGGCAGTTTTTACTTTTCTCTGGCGATCGGTGTGTGGTTTTCTGTGCCCCGGTCTTTGAAGCAGGAGGAAGGGGGTAATGTATGTTGGTCAGATGATAAGGTGTTTCTGGAGGGAGGGAATGGAGCAACCTTCCCCAGCGCTGCCCCGTTTTCAGGAGTGCTGCCTAACCGAGGCTTCCGCCTGTGTTGACAGCTGCCTGGTGCTTGGCAGCAGAGGGGGCAGGAGGAGGGCTGGTCTCCACGGACTCTTGCTCTCTAGTCCAGAGGCCCTGGGGTGGACGAGCTTGATGTGTATCGTGGAGCTTAGTTCACACGAGTCCAGCTCTCAAAAAGACTTTAAAAAGGAAAAAAAAATCCCCATGAAAAAGTTCCTGTCCGCCCTGCTCCCTGTGGCCACTCAGTTCAGATCAATGAGAAGTACGTCTTTTCTTGCAGAATTTTTCAAGAAGGACTTGAGAGGGTGTGTCAGCAGCTCTGCAGATTTTCAGTGGCTCCCTGCCTACCTCTTTGTTTAGAAAAATGTCAGAGCTGCAAAAAGTTGAAGGAATAAATAGCACAGTGAACTTGCAGATGCCTCTCTGTTCTCCAGCACTTCCTGTTTGCTTTGCCCCTCCCTCCCCATGTCTGCTTGTTACTGTTTTACCCAAACCGTCTGAGAGTTGGTTGTCTGTGGCCCTGCGCCCCGAAATTCCTCAGGGTGGGCCTCCCGAGGATGAGGGCGTTCTTATACACAGTTGGGGCTGTACCGAGCGAAGTCTGGATGGTTAGCATTGGTGCGCTCCTCGAACACCACGACGTAGCAGAGGGTTTCTGTGCTCTCTTCACCAGTCGTCCCAGTAACGTCCAGCTCCATTCATCTGGAACACCTCCTCCCTGTGCTGTCAGAAAACAAGTTTGTGGAAGGCCCCTCGGTTGGTCTCGTCTGGTGTTGTCTAACTTGGATTCTGGTGCATTTGAACAGGATTCACCCACACGTGGCTGCGTCCTTCCCCCTGCACCCCTGGGGGCACCTGCCAGCATTTTGTCCCATTGCCCTGTCCTTATCATGGTGGTACTTTGATTACTTCTTCATAAGTGATTGAACTGGGGGGGAGGAGCTTTGAGACCGTAAGTGTCCTGTCACCTCACAGACGGGCACAGTGGTCTCAGCGTCCAGATTTACCAAGGTGATTGCAGAATGGTGGGTCTTCACCCATTGCTTCTCCTTGGCTGCTTGACCTTCCCTCTGTTTGTTCCATGTCCAGGTGGAGTCCTGGACCATTCAAGAGGCTAGAGTTCATTACAGTCAGTCACTTTGATTTGTCATTGTCCCCATTTGGCAAGGAGGACCCCACCCCCTTCACGTGGGCATCTGGTCTTTTTGTCATTTACCCCTAAGTTGGTGCCACTCTGACGCAGTAATCTGTCCGAGGCCCATCTTGTCTTTTCTCTGTCCCAGTACCAGGATCCGCTGTTTCTCCCAGGAGTCCTGGCTCCGTTTGGTAGGGGAACGGTGTCTAGAAACTAAGGCCCCTGTACGGCCAGGTGTTGTCCTGCGGGCCCCTCGGTGGACAGAGTGGGACGGAGCCCCAGGCGCCAGTGCCCGGTCGCTGTCGTCGGCCACCGTGACCCTGCGGTGCTTGCAGAAGTCGAGGTGCGTCACGGCTTGTCCGTTCTCCTTCCCGTCGCGGAGCTAAGTCAGGTGTGTTGTGAGAGCAGCGCTTGGCAGGAGGCGTCGGCACACCGCCGGGGCGCTGGGAGGGGCTGGCCGGCGGTGGCTGCTGCGGGGCAACATGTGACCACCAGGCTGTCGCTGTGTTGGAAATAGAGCAGGGCTGTACTCGGTTGGCGGAATGGAGGAGAGTCAGACCCCCTGGCACCCCGGCCGCTTCACGGCGCCAGGCCCCTCTGTGCGCGCCCTGCTCCGCGGCATGCCCACCCCTCGGGATGTCCCCCTCACGTTCTGCTGGGTCTCCTCTGTCCACGGGGCGTCCCGTACCCTCCGCTTAGGCTTCGTGAGGCCATCACTGCGCATGTCACGAACTAGAGGTTAACATGTGTCTTCCTTTCTCTTTCGAGATGAATTTTATGTCCGACGAAATGCAGGGTCTTAGGTGTGCCGTGGGGTGAGTGGTACCTGTGTCACCCTGGCCCCTGTCAAGCTGCTGGAACGTGCCCATCTCTCCCGAAGGTTCAGGGCACCGCTGCCCCTTTCCCAGCATAGAGGAGTTGATCCAGGGCTGCGCGTCCAGGGAATCCAGCAGGATGGTCTTTGTGTCAGGTTTCCATGGGCCCCCATAATGTTCCTAAGATTCGTCCGTGTCCTCTGCATATGATGCACTTCCTCTCCTGGTTAGGTACTGTTCTGTTGTATGACCGCACCTGTTAGCCCATCCTTCTGTGCTTGGGCATCTGGGCTGTTTGCAGCATTTTGCTGTTATTATAAAGGTGCTAGGGTGGTCAATTGGTCAAGCATCTGCCTGTGGCTCAGGTCCTGATCCCAGGGTTCTGGGATGGAGCCCACCCCCCCATGGGCTCCGTGCTCCACAGGGAGCCTGCTTCTCCCTCGCCCTCTGCTCCCCGCATGTGTGCTCGCTCGAGCTCTCTCTCTCAAATAAATCTTTAAAAAAAAAATGTTGCCATGGACATTTCTCTACAAGTCTTCCTGGGGGCTTATGTTCTGATTTTCTTGAGTGAAATACTTGAGTGGGGTTGCTGAGTCCTAGGGGAGACGTAGGTGGAACCCTTTTGCGCTCCCATCCACACTGTGTGAGACTTCCCAGTTGCTCTCTGTCTGCGCCAACACTTAGTGTTGCCAGTCTTTTTAATGTTAGTCATTCTGGTGGGTGTAAAGTGGTATCTGGCTATGACTTTAAGTTGCAATTCCTGGTGACTAATGGGGTTGCACACAGAGCTCTTTTCCAAAGTATGTGTGTATGTTTTGAGTCATGGGGTGTGGTAAATCGCAGCCTGATAGGGGATGCGCATGTTTTATTCATACCCTAGTTCTTTACTTCTGATTAGCTTGAGCTCCAGAGCTGTTAGCTGTGTGGGGTTTAACCCCTTCGTGGGTGAGGAGTGGCCAGAGCCGCGGAGTGCCCTGCAGGATTGGCATCTGCTGATTCCGGCGGGCTTCTCCTGCAGGGCTTGGGGGGGACTGGCAGGGCCAAGGCCTGGCTTTTGTCTTGTGGGCCTGGCATTGCTGTGGCCTTTGGTTCCGAAGAGAGTGTGTGCTGAGGAGCCAGGGGGCCTGGGCTGGCTAGGGCCCGTGGGACGCGTCTGGGCGCTCATCTCCTCTTCCCTGGAGGCACTGCCTTTGTGTGCCGAGGCCTGTTTCCTGCACGACCCCTTGCAGATAGGAGCCTTGGTGCTGTGTCTGCGTCCTCCCGGGGGCCCAGTGGGTGCTCCCTGAAGGCGGGCTGCCAGGAGAGGATGTGTGGCTCTGGGGTTGGGAGTGGAGCCTGTCCCCCTCCCCCGCAGCCTTCCTAAGCGCGTGTGTGCCTTGCCTGACTCTCTCTGATGTGTGTTCGTCCCCACAGCTTGCTCTCAGAACACTAACAGAACCTGTGAGGAGTGCCTGAAAAATGTCTCCGTAAGTAGCACGGCCACCTCCTTGGCCCCGGGGGCTCTTGTGTGCGTGACGGTGACCCATTGCCGCTGCCTGAATTGCTCCCCACAAAAGAGAACCATCCTCCTAGCGAGCTCCTGTGGCTTTCAGTAACACGGTTATGACATGGTTGTAAACATGGGAAACTAGACATGGGAAACTTACGTTATGTGAAAATGGAGGATTTGCCAAAAGTTCACCGGGACCAGGCCGCTGACGTGGAGGGTGTTCTCCGACGGCCAGAGCAAAGAGGGTTGACTGCTGTTCGCTGAGCGTGCTCTGAGCGTGGCGAATGCGCCATGTAGCTCTGGGAGAGCCCGGGCTTCTTCCTCACGTTTGTAATGGACTTGCACCCTGGCCTGGGACACAAATACCTGATTTCCCATCCTTTTGAAGAGCTCAGAGAAGACTCTGTAAGACGGTTACCTTCAGGATTCAAAGTACCAAGTGCGAAGCCCTGACCTGAGGACCCATGACGGCTACCCGAGCACACGTCTGGGCCGCCATGTGCGCCTGGTGCCGGGAGTGCTTGAGTGGCCGGGGGGGGGGGGGGTCTGGTGCCATCTCTGCACCTGCATCGCCCCTGGTGTTCTTAGGGACTCAGACAGGAGTGTCTGTGAGGTGCCCTCCAGCCCTGAGGTTCTGGGCTGGTGCCTTTGAGCCTTAATGCACTTTTTTTTTTTTTTTTTTAAGAATTTATTCACTTGAGAGAGAGAGGATGAGCAGGGGAGGGGCAGAGGGAGAGAGAGAAGCAGACTCCCCACTGAGCAGGGAGCATGACACGGGGCTCGATCCCAGGACCCTGAGATCATGTCCTGAGCTGAAGGCGGACGCTTCACAGACCTAGGTGCCCCCAGATGCACTGTCTTTAAGACGGCCAGGCACCCCATGCAGTTGGAGAGGTCACAGTGTTTTCCAAGGTCACTTAAGTCCACTGACAAGGACTTACTGAGCTCCTCCTGTGGGCCCGCTGGGTCCCGCCTGCCCTCCTGCAGACGAACTGAGACAGGCACCCCAGCTGAGTGTGTTGGGTGCTGCTGATGGGAAGGCGATGGGGAGGTGGGGCGATGGTGAGTGGGTTGCTCAGGGGAGGCCATGTGGGGGAGGGGAGGGCACACATGCTTGGGGGAAGAATGTTCTGGGCGGAAGAAGTGGCTGTGCAAAGACTCTGGGCAGGGAGCCACCTGGCAGCTTTCAGGACATGCACGGAGGCCAAGGGGCTGGGCAGGGTGCCTGGTGGGAGAGGGTTTTGAGTAACCTCAGCCCTCGTGGTCCAGCTGGGGTGGAGCTGATGGGGTGCGGTGGGGGCTGAGGCCTTCCAGTCTGTCACCTGAGGGCGAGCAGGAGGTGTGGTGGGGCTCAAATCCCGGGCAGTCCGATTTTGGGTGCGTATGTTGCATTTCTGACGTTTGTTGAACATCGTCTCTTTCAGTGTCTTTGGTGCCATACCAACAAGGCGTGCTTGGACTACCCGGTGAGCAGGATCCTGCCGCCCAGCTCCCTCTGTAAGCTGAGCTCTGCACGCTGGGGCGTTTGCTGGGGTAAGTCTTCGTTTTCATGGGGTTCTCGCAAAATCTGTGCTGTTTTGGAAAGTCTGGTTGTGCTCAGTGAACGTAAGCTGCCGGAACGCGTGCTCTCTGCAGGAAGTCAGGAAGCCAGTGAGAGAGTGTGCTTCCTGGGAGGGCTGCTGGCAGTCCCCGGGGTCTGGAGGCCCAGCTGCAGGACCATCAGCCTCGGCTCTGCACCGGGTCCCTCTGCATCCCGGGATGGCGGAGGGCAGAGTGTGCGTTTGGGGACTGTTTCTGGGTGTGTCGGCACACGGTGTCTCGGCTGCATCTGTGTGCTGGGAGTCCTGCTCAGCATGGTCAGGCCCCTCTTTCCTGACTTGTCCCTTTCTGTCTGCAGATGGTGGGTTTTCCAGGCACTCTCTCTGTGGGTCTGTTAACCCTTTGTGAGACCCCAGAGAGACCAGTCCTGGACCAGGGAGCTCAGGGCATTCTGAGCCTGAGCTGTTAAGGTGTTCTTAAGATGAGGCATGACTTTTTTTTTTTTTTTAATGTTTTGTTTATTTATTCATGAAAGTCAGAGAAAGAGAGAGAGAGGCAGAGGCAGAGGGAGAAGCAGGCTCCCCGCCTAGCAGGGAGCCCGATGCGGGACTCGATCCCAGAACCCTGGGATCATGACCTGAGCCGAAGGCAGACACTTAACCATCTGAGCCACCCAGGCGCCCCGAGGCATGACTTCTAATGAAGCGCACATGCTGTTTCCCTGTCCTCGTAGACCCTCGTGTCTAACAGACACACACGTGTGCGTACACCTACAGCTGTTCAGGGAGTGGAGTGAGGTTTTAACACACGTAGACAGGTAACCTCTGCTCAGCACTCGCAGCCTGACCGGGTCAGGACCCCGTGTCAGCCCCTGGAGCGACTTTCCATCAGCACAGGTGAGTGCTGCCCATGCTGCCCTTCCCCTAAAGGAAATCACGTGCTGTTTGTCCGACTTTCCATGCAGTCGCGTGTCTGAGACTCCTCTGTGTCCCGGCCCATCTGTCCGGCGGCTGCTCAGTGCCCTGCAGGCGTCCACGCGGACGTCCCAGTGCTGCTGTAAACGTGCTCGTGGGGCCGGCTGCCCACACTCACTTCCACTGTGCGTGTACTGAGGAGCACCGTCACGGGGTCGCCGCGCGTAGTAGGTCTGCAGGCGTTTTCCCAGAGTGGCATTGCCAGTTTACGCTCCTCCAGGTGGTGCGGGCGTTCCCGTTGTCCCATGTCCCTGCCAACACTCGGGGTAATCAGTCATCTTCATTTTAGTCCATCTGGTGGGTGTGAAGGGGTATCTCGTTGTGGTTTTAATTTGCATTTCTCTGATGACTAATGATGTTGAGCACCTTTCAAGTGGGGTCACTTTTGATAATTCTGTGCAATGAAGTTCCTGCTTTGGGGCCGTGGGGCTGGCTGAACGCCTGGCACGGGACAGATGAGAGCCACAGCGTGGAGGGCGGGGAGCAGGGAGCAAGCAGGGACTGTGGGAGGCAGGCTCTGCAGTCAGGACAGGTGGCCTGCTTCCTAAGAGAAGGTGCACGTGGTGTCGTTCATGCCGGGGCTGCATGGAACTGAAGCCTGCCACTCAGGGATCGGTGGGGATGCTCCGGGTCCCCGTGTGCACTGGGGAGGGTTGGGAAGGTGCATTGGGCTGAGGGCGTATTGGCCTTCTCTGTGGGAACAGAATGGGCAGGGGGCTTGTGCTTGTGCCGTCTGGGGAGCCCGGGAGGGCCCCCAGCCCCCGCTCGATGTCAGGGCAGCACGTAACTGTAATTCCAGACCTCACGCCATGGGTGCTCTCTGTTCTGACAACTTTAGAATCATCTTATCCAGCTCTGGGCAAAATCGTTTTGGGGTTTTAACTGTAATTACATGTTCGATTGGAGAAACATGAAGTCTTTAGGATGTTACCCCATTGGCAGAAGCAGGCGTCCCTGCCCCACTCAGGTCACCCTCATGGCCTCAGGCTCTGTAGCTTTTACGTGGAAGGCTCATGGGAATGGGGGCCTGCAGTGTTTTTCCCCATTGTGATCGGGATTTCTGTATTTTTTTGTTTTAAGATTTTATTTGTTTGACACAGACACACACAGAGAGAGGGTGAGAGCGAGCACAAGCAGGGGGAGCGGCAGAGGGAGAGGGAGAAGCAAACTCCCCGCCGAGCAGGGAGCCCGATGCGGGACTCGATCCCAGGACCCCCGGGTCATGACCTGAGCTGAAGGCAGATGCTTAACTGAGCCACCCAGGTGCCGCATGGGATTTCTGTATTTTTAACTGGTTTTAGCTGCTAGTCAGAAAAGCTGTTTTGGAGGGGCAGACATATTTCTGAGCCAGGTGTCTTGCTGATCTGATTGGTTTTTAAAGTGGATTGTTTGCAAGTTCTGTCGTCAAAACCCACTGCCATCCGCTTGTGAAGGTCTTTTCTGATGTTGCCGTTGTGACTGCTTGGTGTGCTGGCTCTTCCAGAACAGGAGGAGAAACCACATGACTGTAGCTCAGAAGGCATTTCATCAGAGGTGACCCTGATTCTGATCGTCAGCGTAGGTGCACAAACTGGAGGCCAGCCTGTGGGGCTCGCGGCCAACCTGTGTGGAGTGCTCGGCTCTCGGCGGCGGCCTCCCTGTCCCCACCCGCCGCCCCCGGCGGAGCTCGCTCCCGATCGGTGGCCGTCTGAACGGGGCGAGTGGACACATTTGCAAGAGCACTCTCAGGGCTCTTTGATTGGCTCTGGTTCGAATTAAATAGAGAACTCTTGGCGGGTTTGGCTTTATAAATCCTTCAGAGAAGTCAGAAAGAATCGTGAAGCTTGTTTTAACTACTTGTCTCAGGAGTTGGCTCTTGACAGGGAATCATAAAATCGTTGGCAGCTGATGAGGCAGCCGTCTTCAGGCCCTGTGGGCGGTGCCAGGGCTCCATGGTCCCTCCTCTGCCTGCTGGGGTCAGAAGTTGTCCTGGGGAAGTAAATGCAGGTGACCTTGAACAGCGTAGGGGTTAGGCGCGCTGACGCCCCGGGCACTTGAAAATCTGCATGTGACTTTTTTTTTTTAATTTTATTTTATTGTGTTATATTAGTCACCATACATTACATCATTGGTTTTTGATGTGGTGATCCATGATTCATTCTTCTCGTATAACACCCAGTGCTCCATGCGGAACGTGCCCTCTTTAATACCCATCACCAGGCTAACCCATCTCCCCCACTCCCCTCCAGAACCCTCAGTTTGTTTCTCAGAGTCCATAGTCTCTCATGGTTCATCTCTCCCTCCGATTTCCCCCCCTTCATTTTTCCCTTCCTTCTCCTAATGTCCTCCATGCTATTCCTTATGTTCCACAAATAAGTGAAACCATATGATAATTGACTTTCTCTGCTTGACTTATTTCACTTAGCATAATCTCCCCCAGTCCCATCCATGTTGATGTAAAAGTTGGGTATTCATCCTTTCTGTTGGCTGAGTAATATTCCATTGTATATATGGACCACATCTTCTTTATCCATTCGTCTGTTGAAGGGCATCTCAGCTCCTTCCACAGTTTGGCTATTGTGGACATTGCTGCTGTGAACATTGGGGTACATCTGCATGTAACTTCTGATTTCCTGGAAACTGAACTGCTGCCAGCCTGCCGTGGACTGAAGGCTTGCTGGTAACAGCAGTCGAGGTGCACGCGTGCGTGTGTGTGTGTGTGATGTGCACCACGTGCTGTGTTCTCAGGGAAGTAGGCTAGAGAGAGGGAAACGTTAGTGAGAACGTCATCAGGAAGAGAAAGTGCACATACAATATCGTCCTGGATTTGGGGAACCCACGCCCACAGATTCGTGGACCCAGACGGTTCAGACTGTGCTCGAGGGCCTGCGGTGTCATGCTATGGACTTGGGTTTAGGGATTGGATAAGCTGCCCCAGGCTTCAGTTCCATTTCCAGAGTTCCACAGAGTCTAAAAGTGTGTCAGGAGAGAGTGTGCGCCCAGCGGGCACTCTCCTTCCTGTGTCTGCTTGGTTCACGGACCCCAGGCTTGCCGTGGGGAGAAACGCCGCCCCGTGTGTGGCCTGGGCCGTGGCAGTTGATTGAGAAATCGCTCACAAGTCACACACCCGCACTGAGCAGAGACCTCGGGGCAGGCAGCTCTAGGACTGCGGGGGGCTGCTTTGGGCTCCCCGCGCCCCGTCCTGACTCCCTGACTCCCGGCGGACCTTGCAGTGAACTTCGAGGCGCTGATCATCACGCTGTCGGTGGTGGGGGGGGCCGTCCTCCTGGCCGTGGCCGTCTGTTGCACCTGCTGCTGCTGCCGGAAGAACAGGAGCCGGAAGCCGGATAAGAGCGAGGAGAAGGCGGCACGGGAACGCGAGGAGCGCAGGATCCGGCAGGAGGAGAGGTGAGGCCCCGGGTCACTGGGGCGTCCCTGGGGCACGGGGTCCTGCCAGGCCACGGGGAAGTTCCTCCTGCGGCCCAAGTTCTCTCCAGCTTTGGACAGACTGTGGGTCGCGCGCCGGGTTTGTGGGACAGGGTGTGGGCGCGGCGCGGGTCCTTGTCTCCCGGGCTGCCCTGGGCAGGACAGAGGCCCAGCCGGGGCGAGCCGGGCATCGGGGGCACCTGCCTGCCTGCGCCTGGGGCGGGCCTGCTGCGGCCAGTGTGCGGAGACGCTGTCCTCCCCTGCTGACGGAGCACTTTGGGGAGCTCGGGCCAGGCCAGGGCGGCAGGTGCGGCGGGTCACCAGACCCTGCCTGATGGGAGCGAGATCGTGGCTCAGAGACGTGCTGCCACGTCAGGCCAGCTGCTGGTGGGTGGGCGCTGTCCCCGCAGAGTCATGGCCCCTAAGTAACAACTAACACGTGTACATTCCCAACCTTCTGCAGGACCTAGTGTCCGATTTTCACTCCTCAGTGTGTTTTCTTTACATGAAAAATAGTTTAAGAAATCGTAGTATTTGAATTGTCTTTATTGAAACAAAGATTCACATGACAGGACACTGGAGCGTCCTCAGAAGACAGTGCTGGTCGTCACCCTGCTCGGCCAGGTGGCCACCTGTGCCTGTCCCCAGCCTCTCTGCCGAAGGAAGTGAAGGGTACATTTTTTAATGCTATGTAATAGTTTGCTACTAAATGAGATATCTTTGTTTTTTAGGAGAGCAGAGATGAAATCAAGACATGATGAAATCAGAAAAAAATACGGTAAGCGTTGATGCGATGTCCGTGTCCGTTCCGTTTGGTTGGGAGTTATGCCACACCATGAGATGTGACTGCTGCCCTCGTCCGCCTGTCCGGGCTGAGCGGCTGGGTTGACTCCGTGTGGACTGGAATGAACTAACCCACGAGTGTCTTGAAAAGATGAAGCCTGGGCATATTTTTCTCTCGCCAGACTTCCTAGGACTGCTCGCTCCCGAGGGGGTGGAACTTGGCCGGGCTCCATGTGGCTCCTAGCCTGTCACCCTGTTTGTGTGACGTGGGCTGTGTGTGATGACCACGGGCCTCCCCCGCCTCGCCACCCTCGTGTTCACGTCACTCTCGCACCTGACTTCTGTGGGCTCAGCTCTCCATGCTGCCCAGGCATTTTGTCTGGTTTGTTTTGGTTTTTGTTTGGAGAGACTGGGGCGGGGGTGACTCATTTTTTACTGTGTGAGAGCATTAAATCTGCTCCCCTGTTGACTTGGCTGTTGGGATTGGGAGACATGAACTCACGGGGCCTCCCCAGTGACCACTACGGGGCCTCCAGCCCTGGGCCACGGCGCTTCCTTTGACCTCATGACCTGAGGATCACATGCTCAGTCAGGTGGACCGGGCAGCTGGGCTGAAGGCGAACTCTGATCGGGAAAATTCCAAAATCTTTACCGACTAACGTATGCATTTAGGAGTTCTCTGTATAGAGGATACTGTTTTCCTGGTATTTTAAGATCCCGAGCACTCAAACAGTCAGTCCCCAAGGCTCAGTTCCCTCTGGCGGGGGCCGCTGGCTGCATGCCCCCACCCCCATCCACACCGGCCTCCTCTACTATCAGGCCCTTGTGCTGGGTCGCCTTAGGCTGGGGGTGACCCTGCCAGCCTCCAGGTGTTGATTCCAAGGCACAGGGCTGCCCCAACTGCCCCTCCTCCCACTGCTGGGTCTCCTACGTTTAAGGCGAGATGTCCGGCCACTGAGACAGCCTTCTGTGATTGGCTCCCGCCCCTCAGCCTCCCCTTGGTGCCACTCCTCTCCTGGCCAGCCTGGCGTGTCCCCCTTGCTGCCCTTGGCACTCGCCCTGGGGTCCGGTGCTCATTCCCTGCGTAGGTGGTGATAGACTCCGTGTGGGTGACATTCCCTATCCAGCAGTCTTGGCGCGATGCCCTCTCTCTCCAGTGCCCACTGAGCGTCCGCTGCCCTCAGCTGGGGCCCCTTGGTTTTCCACGACATTGAAAAGTGCAGAAAGGAGCTTGTTGGCATCTGATTAACAATATAAATACGAGGCAAGAGACGTGTCACACAGACTCACACCCAAGTGCCTTTACTGCCAAGCGCAAGTAGCTTTCAGCTTCCCCTTTGTCCGGTTGTGTGCGGGGTTGTGTGCGGGGCCTGGCGGTGGCTCAGGCTGGGCTCCTGGCCCAGGGGCGGTCTCCGTAACAGTGCCCTGGGGCACTTCCTTCCTACCGTTTTGATGGTTCCTGTGGCCCTTAATTGCACTGATAAAACCAACTCATGCCTGTTTACACAAAGCCCATAGAGTGGACTGGACTTTGGAAAGACTCAGCTGGTGGAAGAATCCCCAGGGGGCTCCGAGGGGGCCGGGGACAGGCACACGCTGCAGTTAACACACACAATACACGTGTGGATGAAACCCTTCTTGTGGTTTTAGAAGGTGTTTGATTTCCTAATCACAAAACACTTTCTCCCGCTCTGAACTAGACATGGAGCTAGGAGCTGTTTTGCTTTGTCTTTTCCCAACGCAACTGGTGTATTTGTCATTTGGCATCTGAACGCCCTTTACCAAACCCACCGTGGGCTTCCTCCCGAGGCCTGAGGCACGCCGTCCTCCTCCGCAGACGGACCAGCAGCCCCGCACCCCCAAAATCTCCTGCAGCAAGTAGCTGTGTTGCAGTGGCTTGGGGGGTGTTGGTTTGTGGTACAGGGTTCTGAAGAGAGGGAGAGATTGTGTGGGCGCCTGCTCTGCGAGGAGAGCTCCTCGTCTTCGGGTATTCAGCACCGAAGATCTATGACCAGGTACATCGCACTAGCTACGTCAGGATGCTCGACGGTGAGATTGCCGGTCACCTCGCTCTAAGTCCGCCAACATTATAAGGACATGTAAAGTAGGATGGTTTTGTGAGTCACCTGTGGTTTGACATTCAAAACGATGAAGTGTCGTGCTCAACCCTGCGCAGACACCGTTTCTCTTAAGGCCTCAGTGGGTCTTCGCGTAGAGCTCAGTTGTCCTGCTCTCTTGCATCTCGTTTGCTGTCCTGTGAGTGCATTTATAACCAGGGCTGTTTTGTTCCAGGTTTGTTTAAAGAAGAAAACCCATATGCCAGGTTTGAGAACAACTGAGAGCGCACCCCGCCCCGGGACGCGGCGCCAGTCAGCGGAGCCCCTGCCCCGCCGAGGCGGGCCTGCCGAGAGCACAGCGCGCGGCCGCCCGCACACCTGCGAGCTTCTGTCCCCTTCTCTGTATCTCTACTCGGTCACTCGAGACGCTAAGCTTGTCGGGGGGTGGGGGTTGGTTTTGGTTTGGTTGTTAATTTGAGGAGGAAAGACAAACATTGCACCACTGTCTCAGTCGGTAAGCCACCTGCAGGCGGAGCCGCCCACCTCTCCCTCCGTGCCGGCGGCGGGCTGCCCCCAGCGGGGCAGGAAGGGCGCCTGTCACCCGGCCGCTGCCCCGTGAGCCCAGCGGCGTCTCCGCGCGGCGCGCTGACTCGGGACGCGCTCTCACCCCAGCCGCGCGGAACAGCACCGAGGGGCGTCCTGCTCACCTTGGGTCTGTGTTGCGTTTCATTTCATTTTAAATAATCCTTGGATTTCCTTCCTCCACCTAAAACATTTCACCAAAAAACTTCACTTATTGGACAGTTTTAAATTTTCATTTGTATCTACCAGAGCATCACGGTCTTCTCCCAGGGAAGACTTGAGTAACCAATGAAGCTTGAAAGCCGCCTCTCCGGGGCCCTGCAGCACTGATGTGGAGCCGCGGGGCCCGGGGAGGCCGCCACCGCCCTGCTCTCACCTTCCTGCCCCTTGACAGTGGGTGTCAGGCCATGTGTGCAGCGCACGAGCCTCTCGTGCCTGTCAGGCTGGCTGCACCGCGGTCACTGAGGGGCCTGGGTTGTCCCCAAAGAGGGAGGGACCGAGCACCACGGCCCCCCTGCGGGGCTCTCTGCCCACCGGGGAGGCGGGTGTCCAGGTCGGCGGGAGGGATTTCCGCGTGCTTGTCAGACCAGCCCCGTCCTGGAAGCGTGCTCCTGGGGGCGTGTGGTGAGAATCCTGCAGAGGCAGCTTCTCGGGAGGCTGTCCGTGGCCTCCAGGCACACCCCACCGTGGCTTCTGTGGCCGTTCCGTCCCTTTCAGATCGAGATCTAGGACGGCAGTGAATAGACCAAGCGCTTCGTGTGAGCGGGGGCCGCAATGATGGGGACCTGTGTGAACAGCCTGCCTTCAGTCTGGAAATAGGCCCAGGTGCCACCCTGCTTCGGAGTAGGAAGACGTTTAGCTTCGGGAAAGCGGGTCGACAGGCACCTACAGAAACGACGTATTCGGCTTTCGTGCTTGTGACCCTGCAGAGACCGCTGTCTCAGGCGTCCAGTCAGGTGCCCGCCACGTCGGCCTGTGCTGTCCTGGAATTTCCACAAGCTGGGAAACTAACCTCTACGAACTCTGTTACTATCTTTCTGACTTCTTGGGCATTTGATAGCAATTTAAAGTACTATGAAACATTCCCAAGTATTTTATAGCAGCCTGCACAGTTTGTCTTACTGTTTATTCATAAGAGAAACTTTGTAACAGACTTCAGCAACTTTAGTATTAACGCAGTAGTAGTCCGTAAGCTCGTGCTGTGTCTTGATTCTGGGTTGCTGAGCTCCCCGTTCTTCCATACCGTGTATGTAATCCCATCACGGGGTCCTGAGCCCACACCAGGCCGTCTGGAGGGCTGTCGTAGTCCCTACGCTTTTTTCTGAAATAGTCCTAAGAGCAGCCATATATTGTAACCTCAAGGAAACCAGGAAGCTCGGAGTGCCTTAATTTTAACCAGTTTCCGAAAAATGGTTTAATACACACTTTGTTGAATACACTTCGTGTCCTCGTGTCTCATTTCGCTGTGGTGTTAGCATGATTACTTGGAGAGCAGTGGGTAGACTTTCTACGTAGAGACTTTTTTTTTTTTAAAGATTTTATTCTAGAGAGAGCGAGTGAGAGTGCGGGCGGGTGGGGTGGGCGCAGAGGGAGAGAGTTCCAACCAGACACCACACCTAATGTGGAGCCTGTCATGGAGCCCGACGCGGGGCTCGATCCCATGCCCCTGAGATCATGACCTGAGCTGAAACCAAGAGTCAGACGCTGAACCAACGGTGCCACCCAGGTGCCCTTCCACATAGAGACCTTTGACCCGTCCCAGGTGTGTGAGCAATCCCAGCTTCGGTACCATGGCCAAGGGGGCAACTGCCGCGTCCTCAAGTTGCCTGTTACCCACCCCCCAACAGCTGTTTGCTGTCCAGCCAGAGACTCGGGCTGGTTTTCTGCCCCCACACCCCCACACCCCCAGCGCTGCTTTCCTTCTGCTTAGCGGGAGTCATACAGAGAATGGGGAGAAAGCAGTTCTGCCTTGAGCCTCGTGTCCTTGGCTGTAACTGCCGGCAGACTCCCCCCTCCCCAGGGTGGGGGTCTGCAGTGCCTGACTGCTGGGGAGCACCAGTACCTCTTCTGAGCTGCGGCTGAGCCCACGTGATCATCGCTGCCGTTGTGGGATCTCTGGGACATCCTCTGTGCAGTGCTGTCTGCAGTCCGAAGTCCGCGTCGGGCAGGCGATCGGCCCGTCGGTGCTGTGGTCCCCCTGGGAAGTGTGAGCCTGCCCAGCAGGACCCAGGGCCGTGCAGTAGCCGCACTCAAGCACTTCCAGGTTCCAGGGCGGGAACGGGGCAGCGTGGGCTCTTCCTTTTGGACGTCCAGGTCCAGATGCAGTCATGGGGTATCCTTGTGCCCAGCATATCCTTAGGGCATCCAGGCCCCATGGGAAACACTCGCCTCGGATTCTTTGAAACAGTTCCAAGTCTGATTAGGGCAAGACCAGGGCTTTGAAAGGAGGGGGTTGGTGAATGAAGCCCTTCCGTTCGGATGTCTGCTCTTGAGGAAAGGTCCCCTTGTTGGGTTGTAAGAAGCACGCGATCAGATGGGTAATCAGTGGCCGCGTGCCACCAACTCCTTCTTGGTGTCCTTCCAGAGCCAGTCTGCGCCGCGTGCGGCTCCGGGTCTGCTCCGAGCACGTGGCCGCCGCCTCCCCGGGGGCCTTGGCGTGCCTCATCCCACCGTCCCATTGGGAGGCTGGCTGTCTCCACTCCTGCCTGTCCGTGCTGCTTCGTGTGAGCTGTGAGTCCATTTCCAGAAGTAGAATTCCGGATGAAAGTGCCCGTGATGCCGAATTACCCTCCAGACAGAGGACACCTTGTTCGAAGCGATCTGTGACGCTTTGTCAGCGGGTGGAGGTAAGCGGCCCGTGGGGTTTCGCCAAGGCCTCATCTGGAAGTCGGGAACTGAGTGGATGGTTCCTGGGCCCCCTGAGCCGGGGCGGCAGGCCTGTGTGCTGGCGCAAGGCGGTCTGGGGATGGGCAGGGCCTGGCAGGGCTGGTGTGCGGCGGGCACAGACATGCTGCTGGGTAAGGCCGCCTGGGGCCGCGGCAGAGGCAGGAAGAGCAGCTGCGAGGCAGGCGAGGCCAGGGTGCAAGGTGCTGGCCGTCGGGATTCCAGAGGTGGGCCAAGTCCCTGTCCCACTGCTGCAGGTGGTCTGAGGCTCCCTGCCCCCTCCTCCCACCCACCTGCCCCCTCCAGACAGGCTTGCTGCTCCAGCTGCTGTCTGCAGGGCTGTGTGGGGCGGGTCACAGGCCCTGGCTGCTTCCGTGGCAGTTCTGGGGGCCGGCTCTGCCAGAAGGACCGGCAGGTGCCCCGTGAGGCCCCGGAGTTACAGACTTAGGGGCCCGGTACTTGGCAGACACCCGCCGTCTCATGGTCATCGCTGCCGCTGGAGAGCTGTCTCTGGCCCCACGTCCATGGGGAGGAGCCAGCGGGTCTGGCGGCAGCCGCGTCTTTGCGCAGTACCCTGGTACAAAGGTGCCGGCCAAGCCTGACGGGGGGCGGGAGGCACAGACTCCCCCCGTGTGATGCTGGGAGGGGGTGAGGGCACAGCGTTGCTGCCGCCCCCCATCCCCAGTCCCATGCATTCTGCTGGGGGCACAGTCCGCCAGTGGCCTGTGAGCCCAAGGGATCTGCCCGAGGATAGACATGGCTTGAGCTGCGTGGACGTCTGTTGCCCCGGCTCCTGCTTTGGGTAGATGGCCGCGTGTCTGGAGGCTCAAAGCCCGGGGATGTTTCTCAGCCGGCAGGGCTTTCCTCCCCAGGGTCTTGTGGCTATGGGTCCCTGGGCTCTCAGAGTCCTGCACCCCCCGCCCTCACTAGGGGCCCTCTCTGCGCAGCCAGGGCCAGCAGCGGAGTCCATCCCAACAGCTCCAGAAAGCTGCTGGGGGCGCTCTGACGGGGGTCCCACCCCTTGCAGAGTGGACTCCGACCCCACGGAGCTGACTTACTTGATGTGCGTTTTCTGCTCCCCAGACCTAAAGAATGATGTTTAATCCAGTCTTGGAGCAGTTGTCTTCTTGTTTTAACCCTGAATATGAAGAACAAGTCCTCACTACAGATAAATTGCCTCTCTCTCTTTTTTTAAGGTTTTATTTATTTATTTGAGAGAGAGAGAGCGAGCACAAGCAGGGGGAGTGGGAGAGGGGGAATCAGCTCCCCGCTGAGCAGGGAGCCCGATGCGGGGCTGGATCCCAGGATCCTGGGATCATGATCTGAACCGAAGGCAGATTCCTCACCGACTGAGACCCCCAGGCGCCCCCCAATGTAGCATTCTTAAGTAATTTTACAAATTTTCGTTCCTGAAGCTTATGGGCGGCGGCAATGCGTCCACCAAATAAAATGAGTTTTCTCGGAGAGTGGGTGTTGCACTGGGGTTTGCATCGCGTGGGGTGAGGTTGGGGCGCTGGAGATGCTGGAGGCATCACGTTTACTGAATTTTTCCAAGAGGACATTGTTCACCTGCCGCCTTGCCTGCCGGGGACTGGGGAGTGAGCCCTGGGGGCCTGGCCGCCTGTTTCAAAGTCCTCTGCGGGGTCTCCAGTCTCTGCCCCTCCAGCAACTGTAGCTTCCGTCCTTGTGTTCTGTAAGTAGCTGCTGCTCGTCGAACTTGTGAGGGACCCACATTTGGCGAAATGAAGTCACGGCGTATCTCAGACTGAGGGCACAGCTTGGGGATTTTCCGCAGGCCTCCTGATTTCTGACTTCGTACCCCTAACAACAGCATTGCCAGTTTTCTCGTGTTCAGCGTTTTGACAAAGTCATGAGGACCTCCTCTAGCTACTCAGATGGGCTTCGACTCTCATGTTTAGAGGCAGGGGGTGGGGCCCCACCGGGGCGGCAACGGGGACCGGGGAACCTACCCGCAACGGGGGTAACTCGGCATAAAGAATTGTTAACTAGGCATAAGATACAGTTAACTTGGTATAAAGAATAGTTAAACCTTGGGGCGCCTGGGTGGCTCAGTCGTTAAGCATCTGCCCTGGGCTCAGGTCATGATCCCGGGGTCCCAGGATCGAGTCCAGTATCGGGCTCCCTGCTCAGCAGGGAGTCTGCTGCTCCCTCTGCCCCTCCCCCTCCCCCTCCCCCTCCCCCTCCCCCTGCTCGTGCACGCACTCTCTGTCTCTCTCTCTCTCTCATATAAATAAATAAAATCTTTAAAAAAATTTTAAAGTAGTTAAGCCAGTATGAAGAATTGTTAAGTAGGCATGAAGAATAGTTAACCAGGCATAAAGAAGAGTTAACTAGGCCTAAAGAATAATTAACTGGTATAAAGAATAGGTAACCAGGCCTAAGGAATATTTAATCCGCTCACCGCAGAGAGCTGACTTGGTGCCCGACAGGTGGAAGCGGGTGTGCAGGGCCCCCGCTGCGGGGGCCGCACCTTACCCCATGACCGTGGGTTCTTAGGAACCCAAACTTCAGGGTGCGAGTGTGAGGTTAGGTCAGACTTGCTCAGGAGACCTGGGCCCATTCCCCAAGAAGGTTCCCAGGGTGCTCCCCACCCCATGTGACAGCCTCCCAGACGCTGGCCGGGGGAGCCTGGGCCAGCCCGCAAGAAGCCTGGGTGCCCAGCCACAGGGCTGGGGTGGGGCAGCTCTGACCTCCAGGGGTCCAGGCACCTAAATTAGGACAAGCTGTTGCAGAGGGTCCGAGGAGAGCTCGGTCCTCCCAGGCTCCAAGGGTGCAGTGCCGGGGGGCTTAAGGTAGAGCGGGCAGGCCAGGCACTGTGCTGGGGGCGGCTCGTGGCCGCGGCCCTCACCCTCCTTTCAGGACAGTGACCTCGACTCCGCGTTCCTCCTCCGCTGCACAGCTGCTGACCCCGTGTCCCGCGGCCCACGCCACCCATCACCCTGGTGACGGCTGCCTCTCTCCACCCTGGCCTGAGGGACACCTTTAGACTGCACACCTCATGGGGGGACCACTCAAACCTCCCGCAGCTCCCACCACACTGAGGACAAGGCTTGAGCTCTTGGATGGCCTAGAAAGACCCATGGTCTCCTCCTCCTGCGTCTCTCCACTCCCCCTTCAGCACATGGGCTCCCTTGGTGCCTGGAACACACCAGGCCCTGCTTGGCCTCAGCCCTGCTGTGCTTGCTCCCTGGAGCGCCAGAAGCACATCCTCAGGCATCCTGGCAACCCTCACCCCCATTCCCTCCCTCCGTTCAGGTGTGTGCACGTTCCCTGGCTACCTGCCTGAAGAACCGTCCTGTGCTACAGTCTGTCCTCTGACTCAGATCTACTGTCCTGTTCCTTTGGCGACCAAACATAGCAGGGTTGGACTAGAGAAGTGGGGCCGTTAGTGTATCTCCCTGTCTATCCACCTATCTGCCCACCCATTCATCCTCCACCCATCCTCTCCCCCATCATCTCCCACCCATCCACCCATCCGTCCATCCATCCATCCATCCATCCATCCACCCATTCATCCATGCATGCATTCATCCA